GCATCTGCTACATTACTCCTACTTTACAGATGAGGAAATGCTCTCAGGTTGAGGACACTGTGAGTCACATGATTAGCTAAAGGAAAGGCCTTTAGAACTGGGTCTACCAGCTGTCAACCTAATGTCCTTCAATTATATCTGACTTCCTAATTCTTACTTTTAGGAATGATTTAGCCCAATATTCAAACATTAAAAGTATACCCACCTCTACTGCTCCCATAAAACAGGATGTCATTCCATTTTAACTTCCTTCCATTCCTTTTACCAAAAGATACACCAAGTTTACCCTGCTTTTTACAGATTTCCATTTTAGTATTTTTATTGCTCTGTGTGTGTATATGTGTGTGTGTGCACGTGTGTACGCACGCATGTGTACATATCACGTGTGTGCAGGAGCTTAGGAATGTCAGAAGCAGGTGTTGGATCCTCTGAAACTGGAGTTAGAGGGGTTGTGAGCCGCCTGATATGGGTGCTGGGAACCAAACTCTGGTCCTCTGCAAGAGTAGCAAGGGTTCTTAATCTTTAGGTCCTTCTTCCTTTTAAAACTAGTGATGAATTATGAACCGACAATGAATAACTTGTAACTCCATTACATATTGCTGTCTCCTGAATGGAAACTTGTTCTCAATTTGATTGGCTTTTCAGGTTGTGATGAAAATGACTTGGGCCTTTTCACACTGTGCCTCCAAGTTTGGTATCCATTGTTCAATAACAGTCAAACTTCCACACAGTATTAATGTGCATTTAGACAACTTAATTCTTAATTTTGAGGCATGCACAGGGATGTTTCCCTACAAATCTACACCTACAAGTTATATTTATGTAACTGGGAAGGGAGACATTCATATCCCACTCAATTATTGTCTTCATTATCCTAGAAAGTGATTTTCCTTTTGTCTCTGTTGTTGAGAGTTTTTGCATTACACACGAACTTTAGCCAATTGCAGGGCTCATCCTCCATCCCTCAACCTTGTTAAGGAGAGAATATTTGTAGTCATAGTGCCTTCATACCCTACACTCTAGTGAGGTAAGGTTTTCATCCTCTTAGTTTACTACTGTAACTATATATATGTATGTATATATAGTTTTATATAGTTTACTACTGTAACTATATATATAGTTTTATATAGTTTATTACTGTAACTATGCATATATAGTTTTATATAGTTTACTACTGTAACTATATATATATATATATATATATATATATATATGGAGAGAGAGAGAGAGAGAGAGAGAGAGAGAGAGAGAGAGAGAGAGAGAGAGAGAGAGTAAATCCCTCCTTATTCTTTCGGTGTCACCTCAATTGTCTCCTCTTGCTCCTCATTTCTGTCTACCTCTTCCTACAAGAAGCTACCCGTCTCTATGCCGTCTGCTCCTTATGACTTCACAGTGTGTATTTCTTCACGGTCCTCATCACAGTATGTAATTGTTTATTTGCCTCTTTGCACCTACTTGAGTGTGATGGCCAGGAAAGCAGATGTTGCACCTGTTTTCATTCAGTGCCAGGCTTGGTAGTTGGTAGAGGTTCACTAAACATTCACTGCACTAAACTCATTTTGTACCTTTTTGTGAGTTTGTAGGGGTTTTTCTTCTGCTTTGAGTGTTGTTCTAAATCTTGGTTCCTAATGAGAGCTTTAGGAGGATTATTTACCCCACTAATGGGTACTAAAACACAGGATTGTCCTTCTATTCAGTCACCTTGACCAGATCTATGATCATACGAGCATGTGGGTCTGGGTGTCTTATCTTGTGGGGACCTAGATTTTTCTACAGTGTTCTGAATCACAACGTACTGTTTTCTAGATCTGTGCTTTATGGTAGTTTCTAGTGATAGGTGACTTATTTAGGCTATTGTGAAACACCAGGTTCTATGAATATAAAATACACACAATATTAGAAGACTTACTGAAAATGTTAGAGGGATTTACTTATTGAAATGATAAAAATAATGATTTCACTATATTGGGCAAAATCAAATATAATGTTGACAATAATTTTACATTTTCTCTTAAGCTTTGTTTTCTTGCAATGCGGGCATCAAATATAGAGTCTTGGGCATGTGAGGCAAGGACTCAATCACTCAGCTACATCCCCAGCTGCCGGGTTTTTGAGATAATGGTTTTTGCTATAGCACAGACTGGTCTGAAACATGTGATACTCCTGCTTGATGTCACACATGCTAGGATTATTTACAGGCATGTCCCTCCACACATAGCTAAATGGTTTTATTATTATTTATAAATTTCTTTTAGATTCATTTATTTTATGTTCCTAAGTGTTTTGCCTGCATGTATGTATGTGAAGCACATATATGCCTGGTGCTGGCAGAGGCCAGAAGGGGCTGCCGGATCCCCTAGAACTAGAGTTACAGATGATTGTGAGCCACCATGTAGGTGCTGGGAAATGGACCTGCAGCACCTAGTGCTCCCAACTGCAGAGTCTTCTCTTCAGCCCCACATACATTTCTTTAAAATAGTGCCAGGGCCAGAGCTTAGGTCTTTTGATTATTCTGGGCCATTGAATTAATTGTGTAAAGGAACAACTAATGAAAAAATAGCTTCCCTTTAAATTATATACAGGAGAAATATAAAGAATTTTAAACAAGTTTTACAGGTTTTCTAAAATACTCAATGAGGAAATTACACTTTAGTTTTTAGTTGAATAGATGCAAAATCAGAGTATACCATGATAAATTCAACAGAAACTCCATCTGTAATTATTGCCACATGTGCTGTAACAGACTATTAAATTGGAATTACTTCTACTTAGCATAGGAGCATATGTTGCAAAGCAAAATTTGAGCAAAAATCAGATATTATGCTGGCTAGTTTTATGTCTACTTGACACAGGCTAGAATCATTGGAGAAGAGGGAGCCTTAAATGAAAAAAATACTTCCATAAGTATGCTATAGGCAGACCTGTAGGGCATATTCTTAATTAGTGATTGATGGGGGAGGGTCCGGACCATTGTGTTCCGGGCCACCCCTGATCTGATGGTCCTGGATTCCATAAGAAAGCAGGTTGAGCAAGCTACAGAAAATAAGCCAGTAAGCATCACTCATCCATGGCCTCCACATTCCTGCTCTGTTTGAGTTCCTGTCCTGGCTACCTTTGATGATGGACTATGATGTGGAAGTGTAAGCCAAATAAACCCTTTCCTCCTCAACTTGATTTTGATCATGGTGTTTCATCATAGCAATCGTACTCTTAAGTAGGACAGATATGAACACAGAAGCTACGTATAAGTAAATACAAGTTAAATAACTATTCTTTTCATAGCTACAAAAATTCACTTGGAAACCATGTACAGCAATTGAGAAAACTGGTTGCTAAGTCCTATTCCAAAAGCCTTCATCCCTAGCTCACTGAGAAAGGAATAATTAGATTCATCACTCTCTTGTTCATTCATTAATTACCAAGTATATACTGAGAACTTACTATGTTCCAGCTTAGATGTTCAAAGTACCACCATGATTGTGGTGGAGAAGATTTCTGGTGCTTTGTCTCTCACATCTCAGTACTTAGCTATTACACTTTAGTAAATAGCAATTACTTAATGTGGATGGTGCTCTGAAGATTCCTTCATTGGAAGCTTTGTCTGTAGTGTGAAGGTATTGATTTATATGGTAAAACATTAAGAGGCAGGACCTAGTAGAAGGCCATTGGTTTATGGGGGACTTTGCTGTCACTAATGGATTAATGCTGCATACTGAGAGTTGGCAGGGTTTGTTTGGGGGGGCATGATTGTCATAAAAAAGCCAGTTTGATCCTTCCATGATGCTTGCTTCTTATTGTGTCAAATGACTTCTTTCTCCCTCTTCAAAGTGCTCTTGAGCATCATATTATCTTCCATGTTCTGATGTATCCAGAAGGCCATCCCTGTTTTCCCAAATCAGGGACTACCTGATCTTGGACACCCAGTGTGCAAAACTAGGAGCCAAATGAACATTTTTCTTTATATATCAGTATATTATGATAGAAACACAGAACAGACTAAGGTATTTTCTCATTAGAACAAAATGACATAGCACAGTAAATTTAAGCAGTACTATCTTGGACTGCCATGAGTGACATTTTTCTGATTTGGGGGACTAAAATGAACCTGATTTTTTTTTTTATGTGTGTCTTGAGGAATTTGAAAGTGTGGAGGCATACAATAAAACAGGTCTCTGCACCATTTGTCTGTCGTCAGAGTGTAGGAGACAAGCTCAAATGCCCTGGGAAGCTTCAAGTAATACAGTCAGGTGGCTTAGGGGCCCTCCTAACTATTTAAGGAGCTGGAACACCTATTCAGCTCTTCTATGAAGTCTGAGTTGTTATTCATCAATTCCAGCAAACTCACCGACAGTGACTTTGTATCCTGCACAACACAGGTTCACCCTTTCTTGTCCTCATTCTCTCACAGCTACAACACGCACTTCTTGGTCATGCCCCTTCTCTACACATCTTTATTTTCACAGGTTCCCTTCCATTCTGGCCCCGAAGAAGAGGTTCCTTAAACATGACATTTATTTTTCCTTGAAGCTCAGCCAGTAGATGTCTCCGTTACTCTCTCACAGCTAAGACCTTCCCCAGCAAGCCAGGTTTAATCATTTCCTTAACCGACAACAAGGAAGGGAATTTGATAATTTGCCTAAAAAAATGAGCAGATGCTGAGAAGGACACGTTTCCATCCTACATTCCGTCCCCCCCAGTTTCAGTCAGAAATGAAAACTACTCCCTTCTCCCTCTTTTCCAGGCGAAAGAAAGGGCTGGTTTAACTAAGCAAGCAAGATGCCAACAGCCTCCTCCTTCTCAGTACGTCCAAGTTTCCTTCGCTCTCAGCCACCAAAAGCGCCGCTTCTCCCCTCCTTTCCGCCCACTCCTCGCCACCCCTGCAGGTTTCCGAGTCATCAGGGAACACGAGTGGGTGAAAGCACCCGCGCCGCCGCCTCCTCCTCCGCCTCCTCAGTGCGCCTCGGGTTCAGCACTGGACAGCTCCCGCCCCAGCCAACAAATGGCAGTCACCTGATTGACAGAGGCGCCGACCAAACAGGGCACAAGACGACTTGAAGCCGCCCTACAAGGGTTTGGTTGCGGCCAAGCTGTCTCTTTAAACTGGTTTCAGCGGAGAGCAGGGAGAGGCAGCGATGTGGTTTGTGGCCAAACCAAAAGGCTCCAGTTAACCAGCTGCCTGGCTGTCTGGACTCCAGAGACACGAACGTCTTCAAAGAAAACCCTGGCTCCTTGGGACTCGCCGCAGCGCTCGCGACTTGGGTCTGTGTGCGCGCTTCCATCTCGGGGCAAAGGGGTCCAGGAGGGGCCAGAGCCGGGAGGCGGGAACGACCTGCCAAGGGTGAGATGATGGAGCAGCGTCTTCGGCGGCCGCGGTGGCAGCATCAGCCTCAGCAGCCTCAGCAGCAGCTCTTGAACACACCTCAATGAGATCGGCGGTGGAAGCGGCTGAACAGAAAGACGTAAGCGGGCTAACTATAGCTGCCGGGGATGTAACCTGTTTGGCTAAAGGCTGCGAGGTGCGTAATCCCGACCCGACTCATTGTGGAGCGGGCGCATTGCTACAGGTGATTTGGTCTGTTACGGCAGCTGAGCCAGCTGGGCCAATTTCAAAACATTCTTATTTTAAAGTCCATCTGGACTGAGCGCCACCTGGAGAAGGAGGAAGACACCCCCACCCCAGCAAAAGTCTTACTGGTGATAAATTGAGGACCAAAATTTACAAAGTGACTCCTCCGGTTACCTTCTCTCTTCTGTGCTAGACAGATGGGAGCCATGGCTTACTCTTTACTTCTCTGCCTCCTGCTCGCTCATCTGGGATTGGGAGCGGTTGGCTCCAGCCTCGATCCTCCGGGACGGCCGGATGCCCCTAGAGAGAGGACCCTGAGGGGGAAGCAGCATGACCAGCAGCTGGCGCGAGCCTCTGCCCCGGACCCCTCTACTCCCTGGAGCCGCTCCACCGACGGCACCATCTTGGCACAGAAACTAGCCGAGGAGGTGCCCATGGACGTGGCCTCTTACCTCTACACCGGGGACTTCCACCAGCTGAAGCGAGCCAACTGCTCCAGCCGCTATGAGTTGGCGGGCCTGCTAGGGAAGTCACCGGCCCTAGCCAGTTCCCATCCCTCGTTGCATGGGGCGCTGGACACTCTGACACATGCCACCAACTTCCTCAACATGATGCTGCAAAGCAATAAGTCTCGGGAGCAGACCGTGCAGGATGACCTGCAGTGGTACCAGGCTCTGGTGCGGAGTCTCTTGGAGGGTGAGCCCAGCATCTCCCGGGCGGCCATCACCTTCAGCACCGAGTCACTGTCAACGCCTGCTCCGCAGGTCTTCCTCCAGGCCACCCGCGAGGAGAGTCGCATCCTGCTCCAGGACCTGTCCTCCTCCGCTCACCACCTGGCTAACGCCACCCTGGAGACCGAGTGGTTCCATGGGCTTCGGCGAAAGTGGAGGCCCCACTTGCACCGCCGCGGTTCCAATCAGGGGCCACGGGGCCTGGGCCACAGCTGGAGGCGTAGGGATGCGCTCGGTGGGGACAGGAGCCACGTCAAATGGTCTCCACCTTATCTGGAGTGCGAGAACGGGAGTTACAAGCCCGGGTGGCTGGTCACTCTCTCTGCTGCCTTCTATGGGCTTCAGCCTAACCTGGTCCCGGAATTCAGGTAGGGAGAGGGGAAAAGGGCACAAGCAGAGTCTTCCTTTGGATTTGCAGGTGGGCATTCTGGGAAAGCACACTTGTCCGTGATACTTAACTCTCCTGCCTTGGAACAGAGTCTCCGGCTAAATGATGCCCAGGCAGGCTCATGTGGGGAGGGGGTGGGAAGTGCCCGGGTCTGTCTGCTTCAGGCACTCACGGGAAGCTTTTCCCTGGTGTGCAGGAAAGGTAACACTTGGCCTCAACCCTCCCATAGCACAAGGGTGGTGTCCCCGAACTTTAGGGGTGCTTGGGATGCGCCCATCAGGCAGAGTGGAGAACATCAGATGAGAGGGAGAAAAAAAAATAAAGCGAGCCGCAGGGAGTGAGAATTCCTTGAATCCGCCACTTCAGGGTAGCCTCAGCCCACTTCCTGTGAGTGTAGTCTGGAGTGCAAGCCTGCTGTTAGTCAGCTACTGGAGCATGTAATTAAACCTGTGCCATCCCCTGGGCAGTTCTGGCCACTCAGCACTGAGTCACTCCGGCAGCAGAGCCATCTCCAAGATCCAGACTTGGCAGTTTGGTCCGAGTGCTCCCATTGGCTTTCCTTCCCCGGTGTCTTCCTCCTCCTATTCCCTGTTAGGCACATCTGAAGGTTCTCTGCTAGAGTTGGGGAGGGAGGAATCTGTGCTACCCAAACAGAAAACTGGGAAGAAACTTCAGCATCTCTCCCTGTGGCCTTGGAGGAAAGCTAGCATTTGCAAATTAACACTGCTGTCCCTCAACCTCATGGTGAGGAACTTCTAGAAGTAGCTTTTTAGGAATGGATGCAAAGAACCAACAGAAAAAAGACAGGAGAAACTCCATAATGGTCCCGGAGAGAATTGCAGTGAATGGGATCTGCCACAGGGCCTCTGATGGGAAACTCTGAAAAGAAGGGAAGGGGGATTGGAGTTGCTTTTATTTATTTTTCATTTAACATTTTGAGGACTCGGAAAAAATTGAGAAAACGTGTGTGTGTGTGTGTGTGTGTGTGTGTGTGTGTGTGTGTGTGTGTGTATGTGTGTATGTGTGTGTGTGTGTGTGTGTGTGTGTGTGTGTGTGTGTGTGTGTGTGTGTGTGTGTGATTTACTTTTGCTCTAGTACTTCAGGGACAGGATGCTGACATGCTAAAACACACCAGGAAAAGCAAGGCATGAGCAATCAGTGAGTGCCAGAAGCTTGCCTTACCATTGCCATTTACTGTAGAACTGCTTCAGATGTGTTGTTTAACCTCTTTGGGCCTCAGGTACTTATCTACCAAGTGAGAGAATTGAAATGGATTGCCTCTAGGGAATTATACAGCGGAGAAATTCTGTAGCCTCTACTGCCAGCATCACTTGAAAGGGCATAAAGGAAAAAACCCCTCTCTTCTTTGACACTACACATCCCCCCTCCATGTGTGTTTATGGCTTTTTAAAAGGTCTTATCTTCAACTGCAGAAACTTTCCCACTTTCAGGATAACCTCATTTCCTCCTGATCTTTCAGGATCCTCTTAGTAAGAGCTCAGACCAGCTTTGAATCCCTGCCACACCGTTTTCCCAGAAGAAGAGAGCTCAGCAGATGCCACTTACAGCCAACAAAGCATGACCTTTGGATGATCCTTTTCAGATAGTCTCAGGACCAGCCTCTCTGTCCCTTCTTTTCTTTCTCCCTCTCTCCTCTCCCCCATCCCCTCTCTCCCCTCCCCTTCTCCTATTCCCTCTCTCCTCTCCCTCATCCTCTCTCTACTCTCCCCCATCCCCTCTCTACTCTCCCCTTCCCCTATTCCCTCTCTCTCATTTTTTTTTTCTTGATGTTAGGCTCTGTGTTAATTGCTTGCTGTGACTGTCTCGGTAACTTTTCATAGCAGTCTTCTGCTATGTGTTATTATTGTTTTCTCTGCTTTTCCGGAAAGGAACCTGAAACACAGAGGGGTTAAATTTCGTGGCTGATTGCACAGATATTAAATAGAAGAGTCAAGATGAAAGCCCACTTTTGCTTTTAACCAGTATGCTAAGCCCTGTTCCATGAAGATGGCTTAAACCAGGCAGCTAATGCATATGAATGAGACTATTTCCAAGGGTCAGGTGTGGGACCAGGAGGAAGACCAACTGGTTTTAGAACTGTTTTTCTCTTTCCCCCTTTCTTTTCCTCTTCCTCTCCTCCTCTCTGTCTCCCTGTGTCTGTCTGTCTGTCTGTGTCTTTTTTATTCATCTCTCCTCTCTCTCTCTCTCTCTCTCTCTCTCTCTCTCTCTCTCTCTCTCTCTCTCTCTCTCACATACACACACACACACACACATTGGGGATGTAACCTGGGGCACAGCAATGCTAGCCAAGGGTTCTACTACTGACTCACATCACCAGCCCCTAGAATCATTTCCCCTACCATCAGAAAATCTATGTTGTCTCAATGTACCCAGTGCCTTCAGCCAGCCAAGGGGAAAGGCTGAAGATGTGAAAGGGTCCAACCTTGGGAGAACCACACATTCCTTGACTTTGCCCAGTAAAAACTTGTTTCCTTAAATGTTTTCATAGCTGCCGGTGGTGTTCTTCAGCTAAGGTACAGAGCCCGTCCTTGTGTGTCTGGCTGCCTACAGAAGCTGACCTGTCCCAGTGGATCCATAAAGAGCAGAATCTGCTCCTGTTAGCCCCACCTACTCCATAGATGTACTACTCCACCCTCCACCTGCATTGGAGATGTAAAGAATTGTTCTCTGCAGGAACTAGAAGAACTATTCCAAGGATCCGGTGGTTCTACCTGTTGTTTCCCAAGGATGCAGAACTAGACAAGAGAAGGGACTTATTCAAAAGTCACACACACAGTTTGTAACAACAATAGAACTGGGCCATAGGCTTCCTTTCACAGTTTAGAAATATGTATTAGATATACCTACAGCATGTTTCTGCAGCTCCACGCATTGAAGATGGAGTAGAATAGGAACCCCTTTTGCTAAATAAATGCATAAACATCTTTCTGGTGGTGGCTGGAACTGTTCAGTACTCAGGACTGGTACAGGATATTTAAATCATTATCGCGTAATGAGTGCAAGTGAGTTCCTTTGAGATTTATATTTTTTTTGTAGTTGTTTTGCACTGAATGTTAAACCCAGGGACTTTCATGGACTAAGTAAAGTGCTCTACCACTGAGGTACACCGCTGTCCAGGGAATTTTCCATTTTTGATGAGATGAAGGGAATTCAGGACTAATTTGGTTTTATCCTATTTTTCAGTTGTGGAAATTGAGACACAAAGAACTAAAGAAACTTCTCAGAAGTGACATAGCTCTTCTGTGGCAGTTCAGAATGGATGGGACCCTTATTTGTTGAGCACTTACTATAGGTTGGTTTCTATATCTGAACAACTGCACTTGCTTCTTAAAACTATTCAGTACTTACAATGTCAAAAAACCTGAGTAACCTATTCAAGCTATGAGCTGCTCATTAAGGAGCTCAAATCTGATTTCTACCACCCACCCATGATGCCTTTTTAATCTCTGAGTTAACATACCATGCTTTCAACCTTTTCATTCTCCATTGTTGATTTCACATTTTTTTTTACTGTTTGTTTAAAAGACAGTATTTGCTGGAGTTAATATATATTTGCCATGAATAAGTGATATACATTTATTCTTGTTGGCTAGTCATGCAATGAAATATACTGTGTTATATAATAATAAACATAATAAAGTTAGCACTTGGCTTCAGTTCCCACTTTTGTCTCTAGTCAGGCTACATCACCTGTTTAGGAACTAATTTCTTCATAATTAAAATGTAAAATGGGCCCTAATGATCTTTGTGATGATCTACTTCTCTACATCTGTGATAGTAGTTCCTAAGTGGCTTATGCAAACAATGGACAAGTAGCTTTGAAAGCTGGATAATATAGACAAATTCAGAACTTGGAAAAATGATATTGCCTTATCATGGTCATTTACTCACATTAACACACATAGAAAATCCAATCCATGTGTACAATGTTAAGAGTTTAAACTAATGGAAAAGAAAACTCCGCTTCAAAATAAGACCAAGTGTGATTTGAGTTTCCTGGTCTTGAAGGATCTCTGAAATACATTAGAACCCAGTTTCAAGTTGTTCCACAGCTTTCTAACTCTAAAGTCTCCCTCTATCTCACATAGACGTCCTGAAGATTACCAATGTTTTCCTGTTTTGGGGCTCCACATCTCCTCTCTAAAGAGCTCTAGTTTCCATTTATCACTGTAGTTGTCTGTAAACTATTTAGGGGAAGTAATTCTTGTGGTTCCAGAGAATCTTGCTATCTTCTGGAAAATGTGTTTGGATGCAGAAGTGGGACACACAGCTAAATAAACTGCAAGAAGTGAAGGCTCTGAAAATTGCCTACGCTCTAGAAAGGGAGCTAAGGCCCCTTCAGAATGGGCTTTTGCAGCCTTAGCTTCTGCATGAGCCAAGTGTTATTTTTAACTTCAGAAAGGTTCTGTGGGCTAGACAGTGTCTAGGTTGAAAGGCTCTCCTTTTCAGTCTTGAGTGCGATTGGATGTGACACACACTGCATCTTATGATTACATTTTAATGTCCTAGCATGCCACAAGGTATGTGGTTGATGGGATTTTGTGCTTAGCTGGTCAGCAGCAGCAGAGTCTGATCTGTTTTCTCTCTTTAGTTCTAGCTTGGGGTGTGAAGGGATATTCAAGCTGAATACAGCACACTGGAGTGCTGAAACCTCTGGCAGCTTGAGGGTTGTTAGGCACAAATAGGAAGCTTACTGGGGTTATGCTTCAGAGAGTCTAAAGCCAATAGTTCTTCAGCTTTCCCTCAGCATGGGAATGGCACATGCAGCAGGGAAGCTTGTTTTGTGGGTCTTTTGGCCTTATCTGCCTTTTAGCTTTTAGTCACAATTCTTTTCTATGTGCAATTTCTACTTCAGCGGAGCACTTGTTCATTTAACTGGAGTTTATTCCTATAGGAACAACCTTGATCTATAGAAGCATTTAGGTGGACGGCTGTTCCATGAAATATATTTTTGAGTTA